ATCGAGTTCGAATGGCTTTGGAACTGAGATTCGACCAATACACGATCGTTTGAATGTCTGCGCATCGAGTATTCTTTCTATCGAATGCCTGCGAAATCACCGAATACGATTGAGACTGTGTAATTATGTTTGACTGCGTTAGTCGAATAATTCGATTATTTGCCAATCGAATGGTCGAATATTCAACAAGACGCACTAATTCTCTCATTTTAAATTCGAGTATTCTTTCATGCATTCCAATTCTAAAATGTTTTGAATGCCATTCGAATAATATCCAATCGTTTCATCTTATTATGAATGAATATTCGGTATGTGTTCATTCAAAAAGTTTTCCGATGTAACTCTAGTATCAAGAATACATTGTTTTTTTTTAAATATGCATACTGCATGTATCCATTGATTTCGAAAAAGGATCACATTTTAATTGCTTCCCCTATCTCTCCGTTGAAGACGAGCGACTACAGCGAACTGTGTCACAAAACTGCAAACTGCGCAAGATCATGGAAACTTTGTGTCTTCTAAAACCATCTATTCAGATGTTCTATGTAGCTTACGTATTCAGTTGAGATTTTAAATCGATAAAAGCAAAATTTCGACCGAATAATAAGGGAAAATGTAGACGGGTACTGAATATTGATCGACTTTCTTACATTGAAATCAGCACCTTAATATCAAGGTGGTAACGTTGGCTTTCAGCAATAAAGTTTCTCAGAAATAAATACTTTAGTTAATGATTGATTAGCAATTCAAGTGACCATTGACACATCCTCTTTATGTCAAAATAAAAACATGTCCTTAGTTAGAGGCAGACACAACATTTAGCGCGATCATTTGACGGCGACGAAAACAAAACGAACCCAGTGTTTCTTTTTTTCCGTAAAGACCGTTTTTTCTTAAAGGATTAGAGACCGCAATATCGATCAACTTGGGGTTCATGTTATGCAAAAGAATAATTTGTAAAATGGAGTTGCATACCTCGATTGATTTTTCCAACCTGTATTGATTATTTTACGTGCAAAAAAATTGACTCTACTATATAGCTCCCCTAGTAGAATGCTAGTAGTCGATTCGTTGCAAAAGGTGGATGAATTTGACACATAAATAATAATTTTGGTTACTTTTTTGACAACTATTGGAATCCCTAAACAACTACATTTGCCAGTCAATCACTATGGGAAATAATTTATTAAGGGCGAGTAACATACTCGAAAAAAAACAACATTTCATAAATACAATAAAAGCAGAAAGAAACACAACAAAACTGAAAACCGTTCAGTCATTCGTGTTTGCGTAGCGAAATACGCGTAACGAAACGCAACGCAGACACATTAACACCCGTGGAACTAGACGAAAGTTGGTAGCGGTGGATTGTACAGCGATTTGCTGGCTAGATAGTCCTATATAACGAACTGCTACAATTTACAGCTCGTCCTTTGCTTCATCTCCTCCGGCACCTCCAGCTCCGCCAGCTCCAGCGTCTTTGTACAATTTGCTGGTAATTGGCGAAACTTTACTTTCGAGTTCCTGAAAGGTGAAGGATTAGAAATAGCTGACCAGAAGTGAACAAATCAAAAAGTTGATACTTTTCCTAGACAATAGCACTAAAAGAAAGATCTCACCTTCTTCTGCTCTTTGAGCTCGTCAACAGTGGCTTCACGGTTGCTCTCGAGCCACTTGATGGTCTCATCTACAGCCTCCTCCAGTGTCTTCTTGTCACTATCATCCAACTTGCCACCAAGCTTTTCCTTATCTCCAATTTGGTTCTTCAGCGAGTAAGCGTAGGACTCCAGTTCGTTTCTAGCTTCTACTTGCTCTTTGACCTTCTTGTCGTCCTCAGCGAACTTCTCAGCATCGTTGATCATTCGTTCAATATCTTCGGGACTGAGCCTGTTCTGGTCGTTGGTGATAGTGATCTGATTCTTGTTTCCAGTGCCCTTATCCTCAGCAGTTACGTGAAGGATACCGTTTACATCGATTTCGAAAGTGACCTTAAAACAGAAAATTACTTTCAAAAAATGAGATTTCGAAATTAGAGATGTGCTCGATGGAAAATCTTTCACCTCAATCTGGGGCACTCCACGTGGCGCTGGTGGAATATTGGTGAGATCGAATTTACCAAGTTCGTGATTGTCCTTGGTCATTGGACGTTCTCCTTCGAAGACCTATAGATGAAACTGATCAAATTTTATAAGCAATTATACCCACCTCACTATTCCATTCTAAATTATCGTAATTTAGAGAATGCTCAAAAATTACCTGAATGGTGACAGTCGGCTGGTTATCGGCGGCAGTTGAGAAGATTTGTGACTTCTTCGTTGGGATGACGGTGTTACGGGTGATCAGCTTGGTCATGACTCCTCCGACAGTCTCGATACCGAGGGTAAGTGGATTTACGTCAAGAAGTACAATGTCTCCAGTGCTCTCCTCTCCGCTGATAACGCCAGCTTGTACGGC